AATACACACTGAGGAGGTGTGTGCGGTGTGTGTGTGTGTGTGTGTGTGTGTGTCACGTACATGTATGCTGTGTGACCAAGTGTGTGTGTGCCACTTGTAGTGGCAAGATGCATGACTCTGGACACAACCCAAAAGCAGAGATTATTGACATGGATGCTCCACCATTAATAAGCTGCTGTATCCTTTGTGTTCGGGGTCGCCATTGCTGCAGTTAACTATAACTTGTCAAGGCTGCTCCAGCCGCACAATGCGTACCTCATGCATCTCCTGTCAGCAGGCATAATTCCTGGATGCTGGCACGCCGCTGATTTCTGCATAAGTGATGCGAGCCTTCTAGTAGAGTTAGGAGCACGAGTCTTTTGCCATTGAGAGATGTTCATCATTCTTGATCTGGCTCTGTCAAGACCTGGTGTTTTAGTGCCTCTCACGATTAGGCAGAATTGACAGGCCAAGAAGGCAGTGAATAGCAAAAATGTGTGGAACTGAGGGGGTGTGGTGTAGGCTGTAGGGTGAAGTGGAGTGTGGCCGCCATTTAATCTGCAATTTATCAGTTTAGGCTGCACCATGTAACATCAGGGAGATTACATTCCAGGGAGCAGGAGCTCTATCTCTCCTCCATCCCCTCCTCCTCCCCCATCTCCTCTCAAATGCCTCCTAATGTCGTCTGACGGCTGAACGCGGAGGACAAAGAGGGAGGACTGTCTTTATTGTCACCATTATTGTTTCTGAAACCCTTAATTAATATATAGCATTGTGGACTCCTCTGTGAGTAAGCAATGAAGTGCCAGTGACAGAGAGACGGAGCATAAGAGGTTTGCTGCAGCGAGACAGGCATGCGTCTTTTATAGAGGCTGTTTGTCATAAGGAGAAAGTTGGGCCAGATTTAACATGCACAAGCACACAAACTGTACGTGCATTCTCACACACACACACACACACACTGCCATTGATGTCTGCACATGACCTCTGACAACACTGATCACGTTGGGCCAATAAATGCTTAATTGCCATTTTTCCGTTGGGCTGCTTTATTGATGTCATTTCAAAAGTGATTAATATGAACTGTTAACTAGCTGTTGCATTTAGCACTAATAAAACTGAGCTGGCATTCTGAATTATATTGATTTCTTAGATTTTTCTAGCATTGTACATGGATTCGGCATTGTATTTAGATTTATAAAAAATTGGCTGTTATATCACAATGACATTATACTATGTCTATGCAATTGGAGGCTAATGTGCTGAAAGAAACTCCAGAAAAAAGCAGACTCTACAATCAGTGCATTAATACCCTCTTTTAGCAAATCAACTTTTTTTTGCATTTTGTCATACGCAGCAGGAGGTCACAGGTGCTTTTTTATATTAACCCAAAATATTTTCTCAACATTTGTCCTCCTTGCACACTCTCCGTGGTGTTTAAAAGGGCCATTAACAGGGTCACTAACTCTATTAATATACACTGGTAGAATATACCAACAGCATGCTTAGAACTCCAGTTTTTATCTCTCGTTCAGGGAGGGCAGAAACAGAAATATGAAGGCGCTGGCTTACAGGAAGGAAACCCATGGCAGCCTGATATTAAAATGGTTCAGGAGTCAAGTAGAACAAGTCAAGTAGCTGGAGGGCAAACAAAAGTGAGAGAAAGAGGAGGGAAGGAACAGGTCATTCTTAAAAGCTAATGGACTGTCAATGCTCATATTGTACTATATTGAATATTATAAAATGTGTTGGCTTCATGTGAAGACTGTGCTATTAGTCACCGGCAGACTATTATTTATTTGACCAGCAATAATAAAAAACATCTTAACAGAACAGAAATAAACAGTGGGTTCAATAATATTATTACTTTTCTTTTCAAAAATAGTTTAAAATGAGATTATTAATGCGCCTCCACACATTCTCTTTTATGTCTTTTTCCTACATCTTGATAACCTCCCTAGCGTGGAGTCTGTCTAGCAGCTGTTGGGCTCAGGGCTCGCCACTGCTGCAGCTTACAGTGCTGTCCACCAGATGGACTGTAGCCTGAACACCAGGCCATGCAGGGCTCATACTAAACACATTCCTGCGCCTGGAAACACAAAAATAGCAGCCAACACATGTGCAACAACACACACTTCAGCTCTGAATTAGGGTTTGTATTTGCACATTTAAAATCTAGTCTTGCGGAATACAGAGCACACATACACACACTTGTGCAATTTATTGCTCCATGATCACCAATAAAGCAGCCTTTATTAAGCACGCCTGTATCCCAGGGGTTATTTTCTAGACATTCCCTGGAGTAAGTACTGTATGACCTGTTACACTTATCTGCACAGCCTCTCTCCAGCGACAGAGAGCTTGATCCATCCTGAAAGGGGGATTGAACTCTCACAAGATGAAGACATGACATCTTCGGCTTACTTGATGTCAATGATAGGACAGCTCACTTGTAGATCGGGCATGTTGCCAGCCAGCTCTCCCTGGGTCCTGAATGCTGTCTCTGAACAGAGGCCAACGACACAGATGACATCCGGGGAAGCCCCCGTCACCTGTTGCTTAAGGACAGAATAATCAAAGTGGGTCATACTGGGACGCTGGCCCTCGCAGTGTGTGCAAGGCTGATGTGTTCATCTGATGCATATGTGTGTGTGTGTGTTTTCCTAGACTTGTCAGGGCAGCAGTCAGAGCTGAGCCCTGAAATCCACCCCAGTGACAGAGATCATCAGCATCAGCAGCAGATCTTCCGCCTGGATCATGTTCACAATGAGAGCTGTGCCAGGCAGTGACACCACTGCACTGTCCGGTTGCACACACACACACACAAAAAAACCGCTGCCTGCCAACACACTTCTGAACATTGATTTCAAAATGTTCAAATCAGCAAACGCATATAAGCAATATGAACATTTCTCTAGGCAGTAACAACAAAGGTCATTTTAATATAAACAAATAACAGCTTTATTGATTTACATGCATGCAGGTAAAATACATCTTATTGTTGCCCTTGAGGGTTTTTTTTTCCTCGCGATCCACACTTGACACTTCCCTAACAATACTGCTTAATTGCAACCCCAATGAAACATGCACGCTCAATCAGAGAGGGAGTTTACTGTCGAATTTATGGAAATGCATGAAAGAGGCCTGTGTTAGTTGTAGGGTAGGTACACCTGCACTTGTCAAGGTACTCAAGTACGCTGGGTAATTGGCTGTTGATTGCTGCCATTAACATGTGATGGCTAAGTGCATCTAATTCCTGTTCCATTTCCACGGTTCAATTTGATGTCACCACCCACTCTTTCTCTCATAGGTGATTAGCCGTGCCTGTGAAAATTGTTCTTTTTCTAATGATATAAGCACAATATAAAGAAGGAGCGGTAGTCTCAGAAGCGCCATTGTAACTGACACCTTTGCCTAATTGATATCCTTTGTGGTGAGCAGTAAAGGAAAACATGGGGAATGTCATTTATTCCTGTGTCTGCTATTTCAGACTGAACCCCAGAAGGTTTAATGACACAATAAAAGTGCAACAGTCCACATATCTGTCTATTGGAATGATGCTATAACCTGACTCTTAGGGTTACTGTATTGCCATTGTTTAATACTGACCCTCTGTAGCAGCCTTATAATGAAGCACGGGGCGTTCTGTTATTTGTCACCAGACACAAATCTCCCTTTGTCTCTGTAGTTTAAGCTGGAATTATTATGGAGAATGGTGCTCACTTTTACTATTTGCATCTCTTACAGTATCACCACCTCAGGGCGCCGAGACTTTGTATCCCTTTGAGTTTTAATCTCCTCCTCTGCCTGCATCCTCGCGGCTATTTCATTTAAGTTTTAATATGTGTATTTGACATTTTTGTTCATTTAGACCCCCCCCCCTTCCTCCTCGTCCTCCTC